CTGCTGCAAGGTTTAACATTTGCAGTGGGGCACACTTCAACGGTGTAGTCCATTCTTGTGCTCAAAAACTCCATACCAAATATTAGGCTGCCATTCCGCATTGATACACCTGACGGGGATGCAATACAGTCATACGAAAATGAACAATTTTGAATGAAGTTCAGCTGATCCTGTTTGCTTTGACAAAGCTCAATGGTTTCGAAAGGACAAGGCAATATCTTGAAATATTTCTGTCCGCAACTACTATTCGACAAAGATGTATATACCCAAATATGTGCATGAGCATTGGAGAGAACAAGGTTGTTATACACATCTCGCAGGCGAAACGCCAAAAACAGGAGAGTTTCACCCGCAACAATACTCACGTTTACTGGTGTCTTCGATAGAAGGACAAATTGCTGTTTTGCTGAGGGGGCCACAGTAAATGGATTTGAAAATGCATTTCTTGCCTCTGAAGCGTTACAGTCTGCTATCATGTAGTAGCACACTTTGATAGAATAATCATTGCCTGTTGTGGTAGGACTTGGTACAATGAAACTATTTGTAGAAAAATTGCACTGGGTAGAACCAAGATTATCTGCACTCTCGAACTGAAGATCCTCGACCAGAAGAGTACCGCTCATTAAGAAAAAGTAAAAATTGAGGTAATTAGTGTCATTCTTGCATGATTGACACAAGCTATTACAACATCCAATCTCATTATCATAAGAATCGTACGCAACTACAGAAAATATGATTGAATCACCTGCAGGGACCGTTGTGCTGGCTGTCTTCACTACCATTCTGCTGACATTTGACGGCACCACTCGAAGAGACTGAGTATTTGCAACATTTGGATCTTCTTCCAGCGAGACCGTGATGTTATATTCACCTGCCTCCTTCAACACAAAACTGATTTCTGCGACGCCGCTCTGTGATTGTGTCATGCCTACTAGCTGAGATTGATTCAAGATTGACGCAAACAATGTCACATTGATTGAACTACTTGAGGCTAGGTTTCCAAATTCGTCATACAGAATGGCCCTTGCATAATTCATCGACCCTGCGCATGTCGATTGTGAACTCGAGATATTACTTACTTCGATTCTAGCAACTTTTGCATTGGAAACTGTGAGGACCCCGGATTGAATCGATTCAAACTGCACTTGAAATGTCAAGTAGAGGGTTCCAGCCTGCTGGATGAAAATCTCAGAAAAGACCGCTATGCCATCTTGAGTTGACCAGGTCACTGATGGGCCACCAAGTAGACATGAGCGATCAGTATTCGAAGGGTAAAGACTGCATGCTCCTGCAGTATACGTGATAGATACCGAGACTTTAGCATACACCAAGCAGTTCTGATCCAAAGGAGTTGCTGGGCAAATCTGTACTTCAGGTGGCTTGGAGAATAATTGGCCTGCATACCGAACTTCTGGCTGTTGAGTCAGATTTAATGTGTAATTGTCCAAGATGGAAACAGGACCGTAATACGTTGATAGATTTGGATATGACTGTACGAAGAAACGGAGACATGTAAGGCTGGTATTTCTGTTTTGCATTGTTGCCAACCATGTTCCATCTCGAGAATTGAAGGGAAACTTGCAAAATCCAACCTCGTCTGGAGACACGCAAGACACGACATAATGTTGATAGCTAGAGTTGCAAGCTTCTGGCACAGTGAAAAAGGCGTACAGAGTGTCGTTCATCCACACCTGATTCTTGTATCTATCCTCAGCGTACAAAAAGATATCAGGTCCACTTGCATTAAACAGCCATGTATAATCTTGATAACGCGAGAAAGATATCAATTTTGTCGGATAGCTGGGTATTACAGAGAAAGGATTGCTGACATTATAGAGCTCATCGCCTGCAGCTTCAAAAATAAAGCTTGTATTGCAAGAGATCGTGATACAGCCTATGTGGTATACAGAAAAGATCGAACTTATGATTTGTCCATTGACAACTTCAAGTGGCTCCTTACGAACAAGTTCGTCACTAGCATTTGAGTATCCTTCATAACGCAGCAAACTCACATTGAGTTTGATGGGATTTTTGACAAGATTTCCATACAAGTCAGTAACTTGCACAACAAATGGAATCGGTTGACCAGCAACGAAATAATTAGAGATGTCTAAGAAACGAGCAGAATGCGGCGCACCAGGCAGCAGCAAAAAAGAATTAGAATATTCAATTAAGTTGAGACCGCTCAGCGAAGCTCGTAACTTATAACCAAGACCAGGAGGTAACACCAATCCGATTGAAATACCAGGAAAGGTAACTTGTGTCACACTTGGATACCAGGATTGATTTGTTGTTCCGAAGAGGAGTGGATGTTCCGAAAAGTTCTTCAATTCGATACCAGAAATCAAATTCCACACTGTAACTTCAAGGTCAAACACATTTCCATTTGTATGATTTTGACAAAAAGCATGAGTTGATGTGTTCTGAAAGGTAATGCAACATGATGATTGTGTAGATGAAGGACATGCTGTGTCAAACAGGCCGCTCGTGTCAACACAAATTTTTCTACTAGATTTAAAGGAGCATGTGTCACTTATGTATCGATTGCCAAAGTCATCCAAAAAGCCGATTTTCACAGAGGGATAAATGCTTTCCATTGAAGTTTGGTTTCTTACTGAATCAATGAACACAAGCTTGGCTGGGAATCCATTCACAACTTGAATTCTTTGAGCAATCACACTAATTCTGATATCTGAGAGAAGAAACATTCTCAACCTCTGGTCAGAGGTTACCTCAGTAAGACTGAAAGTGAATGTCGCAAAACCTTGTTTTGTGGTACTATTGGTGTACAAAGAAGCATCAATGCTATTATTTGCAATCAGTCCCATCAAACTTCCAGTGTCATTATAGCGAACATAGTTGTAGGCATCAAGCAAACCTACTTGCAGCTCCACTTCTTGTCCTGCATAGCAAGCAAGGGGTTGGAAGCTGACTTGAATGCTTGTCGTGTTGCCTGGATACACTTGAAAGGTGTTTGAGAGTGTGGTTTTGATTTCTGGCGCAGCTGGAACGGAAAAGTTCAACTGTGCTTGCAAGAACGCAGCTGAGAAGAATATTGTTGCAAACGTTGTGATCAAACCATTGGCACTTTCGAGGAGAATTCCATCAAGAGAAGAAGGGACTCCAGATTGCTTTGATAGAACAAACAATCCTTTTGTGCTGCTGTATGAAGGAGCGAGTATGGTGCCTTCTGCCAGCGACATTAAGATTGCTTTTCCCGGTAGTGCATTTCCAAATTGATCTTGTAACTGGACCTTGATGGGAACTGGAATGGAAGTGTGAATCGAGAATGAAACAGGCTGCTGGCATTGAGTACAAGACAATGATAAAACAGATTTCGCATTATCGGGAATCACAGTAAAATTGGATGTAGATGAGTAAATTGGATATTGAGGGCATTGCGTCAAGTCAATACAAGAGGGGAAACGAAACTGATATGAGTAGTTCCCAGAAAACGTCAAGATCACATTTCCACAGATGGCTTTCCCCCCATTTCCGAAACACTTGACAATGTCATATGGATCAGTCCCTAGCACATGGCGATATAATATTAGATCCACAGCAAAAACACCAGTTTCTGCAAGTTTAAGGGTATTTGCAGCCTGGTAATTCATTTCCACGCCTGGGGCACCTGAAACCACGGGAAAATTTAGAGGCCTGCAAAAATCAAAATCATTCACACCGACTGTAACCAAAATCAAAATACTTACTGTCCGCTGACGAATTGCAATCCATGTGGCAATAAATTCAAATTGCTGATATTATACACATTGAATGTCAAAGATACATTCTGTACAAGCACATCCTGATATACATGAGACACAGGATTGCTACAGTCATAGATAGGGGTGATCCCGCCGATATTTGAGCACTTAGTCAAATCCACGGCAGTCATTCGAAGAGCCAGACCCGTAACAGAGGAAGGACCCTCACAAGGCAGGGTAATTGCCAGGTCAGTGAAAACAAGACCTCGATCGTTTTCTTGTGCCTGTATCAACAAATTTGCATTGAAGCAATTCGTGCATGTGAGCTTGACTGTAGAAATATCCACTGGACTGTTCGCAAGAGAACCAGATCTGTAATTTGGAAAAAGGTCAAGCATGAACCATACACCTGCAGCAGTAACAGGATTCAGATATTCATCTGTGAAATTCACTATAATTTGCGGATTGAAGGTCTGAAAGTGAGTTGTCAAAGAATCACACTTGATACCGCACTGGTAAGTGCACTTGCGAGTGGCGGGAATAGAGGATGGTTGAGTATTCCATAGCAGTCTGCGCAATACTCCAGCACTCACTGTCAAACTCTGATTCACAAACATTGTTTTGGCACTGAAATAAAGGTAATAAATTCCTTTTGAGGTGATGAGCAAATCTGTAAAAACTGCAAAACCTTGCTTGGATGGTGCTTGGTTATTCCCTACGAGCACGCCAGTACCAGTTGCCACTGTCATGGTCAAGGTGACATTTATACCCCCGAAGGAAACTAAATTTCCGAATCTATCTAGGAAAGTGATTGCTGGCTGTGGTGCAAGAACTTGCGCCGCAAAAACCCTGGTAGGATTCCATACCTTTGGCACAGGTAGGTTGATAGTTGTGCTCGATACAACTCTTATCTGATGCACGTACCCTGGATATAGAAAAATCGGAGATGATATTGATGGACCAATCCTGTATGGAAGAGTTGCATTGGTTTCGTTGCTGGCATAAAACTTCAGTACGACTAATCCTGAAGTTTGTAAGGTCATATCTGTAAACTTTGCAACACCTTCATGGTTGAAAGCGAAAGGCTTTACGACATTTGGAAACGTTATATTCGATTGGTTCTGATAGGAATAGACGTAAACTTTCCAAGTTGAACTTGTCACGGAATTGTTGAATGAATCTACCAAATTTACAATAGGAGCTTGAGATAGTGTGAAAAATATTCCAACATTGCTAACATTCGGAGGCTGCTTCAAAATCAAGATGGATTTCGCTTCAGCTGGCACTACATGGATATCAAAGGTTGTGCTGTTCATGCCAAGAGTGCCAAAAGTGAGTGTCAATTTGCCGGCAACCCAGATGACTAAGTCTGTGAAGGTTGCCCTGCCATTGACTGGTACTTGAGTGAGCGTCCCGTTGAAGCCTGTGACAAGGTCAGAATGAAGACAAACAAATACACAACGATCACGCCTACCTTGCAAGCACACATCAATTTCAGCGAGAGGATCACGCTTCACACATTGAGGGACTGGACCAGCAATCAAAGTAAAATTGTAGCTCCAGTCCAACTTGTCAACCCAACCATCGCACTCAACTCCCAGGGAAGTGTTGGAGAAATTGTAAGTGCGAACCCACATCGTAGGGAATTGAAATCCACTGCAGTCATGTAGGCTCGAGTTTTCCTCGGACTTTACTGGCGTTCCAGCAACCACTTGCTCCCTTATAGAAATGTTCTGTATTCTGCAGCTGCAAGACTGAGAGCAACTCTTACTACAACTTGGAATTGAAAATTTTGGGTAGGTTGAGATAGAATGTCCGATGGGATTCCAGATGGGATCATAAGGCAAGAATATTTGTCCTACACGGACCCTGAAATAAGGTGTGATGAAGACAACAGGCCCTCCACGGGCGCCTGCTTCGAATTTCAATTGATACGGATATCCACTACGACTGATCATGAGGTCTGTGAAAAGAGCGACGCCGTTGGCTGTTCGTATTGATGTGGTTCCATTAAGATATGCGCAACCAGGATTATTGTACAGAGAGACGTTCATAGTTATGTCAACTTGTGTTTGCACTTCGAGATTGCCATTAACAAGAGCAACATGTGGTTGCTGTCCTTTTACATAGAGACTCAAGGTTGGTGAATCCTTACCTATCAACCATCCCGCAGTAGCGCCAAGGAGAGGCTGACCCTTAGGATACCATGAGAATTGTGACACTCCAAATTGTGTTATATCGAGATTAGGATCGTAACTCCTTGGCCGCATTTTACAAATTTGCAAGCTTGTCCGAGATCTATTTACATGGAAAACATCTGCTAGAACTTGATTTTTGGCCGTGCTTGTTAAAGAGTCTAAGAAGAAGATGCCAACCAAAAGCATCTTGTGCATGAAGGATTGTTGCAACGTCAGCATGCACCATCGCTTGTGAGCGCGGCAGGGACCTCCTGCCGCTGCCATTCTCCCCCGACCTTGAGAGCTCAACAGGCACCGGCACAGGACCTACCCCACTGTAGTGGAACTGATGAGCCACCCCAGGAGAATTGGACAGACGACATCGGGTAAAGACCACCCGTACTAGCATAACCACCACCAGTACCCTCATTCTAAATCCGAGAAGCCTACTGTAGCGCTGATAACTAATTCTTACCAGGCTACTGTGACTTCTGTGAGTAAAATTTGAGTCGCCAGGCCCCGGCGTTCGGCTTCGGCCGGGGCCTGGCATGTGACTAACTCAGGCATAAGGCTGAAATGCTGACAGCCGTGCGTAGTAGACAAACAGGGAGAGACATGGAGATGGGGAGAGAGGGACAGCGATGCATGGAGAGAGGGAGGGAGGGAGGGAGGGAGGGAGGGAGGGAGGGGAGGGAGGGAGGGAGGGAGGGAGGGAGGGAGGGAGAGAGAGACAGACAGACAGAGAGCGAGAGAGAGACAGACAGAGACAGTGACAGAGAGACAGCGAGAGATAGAGACAAAGACAGAGACAGAGACAGAGAGGAGTTTGAGGGAGGGATTTCAAGGGAGCAGGGGTTTCAACATTTTCGTTGCATAACCTCTTTGTTCGTAGGGCGATGTCTCTAAATGAAGCAAGGAAGGATGACTCCAACAGGTTGGTGTTGTCGCGGGGGCTTGATAATCTCTAAGGTCTAAGTTTCAACAGGGAATCTCGCCTTAGAAAAACTTTCCCTGTGAAGATTCGTAGATATGAGTTGAGTCGTTTCATTGAACTGTTTGCAGGAAGAGAAAAGAATTGCAGACATTGTGAAATCAGATGCTGTAGCTGCATGCAAGAAAGAGATTAATGAGTTTGCTCAATGTGAAAAAGCCAACGGACTCTTTGTCATCTTCAACTGCCGGTGAGCTTGTTGACTTCTCCAGAGTTCGAGTTTTGAAACAGATTTTGCCAGATTGCAGAACAACGCCATGAATGAATGCATGAAGCGACATATGACACAAGAACATCATGACAACGTCAGGTGCACTTTGAGATGAATATTTCATAAATGTTGATGCTGCAAAACTTTTGCAGGCTCAAGAGAGCACAGGAAAGGGCAGAAACTTCCAACCAGTGAAGGCTTACTTTACATGTCATTCAGTTCATCTCTTTGAACGATTATATCTTCCTCCCATCCAAAACATCTTGTGTAGGTTTTGACAGCTGCTCAAGCTGCACGATCCTCTCCTTGAGCCTGGTATTCTCGTGCAGCAAAGCTGTAGATCGTCGTAGAAGTTCCTGCTTCTTTCGATTCATTTCCAAATTCACTGAGTCAGCGATCCCCTTCTCGCGTTCGACCATCGCGCTGTCTGCAACTTTCAGGATGGGTAGCTTTCTTTGGAGTTGACCCTGCATGCCATAGTCCAAACGAGCGGCAATGTCACTCTCCGTGACGATCTTGATACCATCTGAAGCGAAATGTCTAAGAACTCTGGCGAGCATCTCGTCAGTTAGGTCCTTCTCAGATGGATCTCCGGGTCCGTTGGACAGGAGCCGATATGCTGCTACAGTGAGCTGCTCGCCAACGCTGTTGGGGGGGATGTCCTGATCTTCCGGCTCCGAAGCAGTTCCAAAAGCCTCAATCAAGATAGCAAGCAAGACATTGAGGCAGACGATCGCAACGAAGAAGATAAAGGACCAGAACAAGATGGCGGCGAAATCTGGAGCGATCTTCTTCAAGGCCTGATAGTCATAGTTGCCCAAGATCATCTCCCATTGGGTCTGAATCGCCAGCCCGAAGGTGTTGTACGCGTAAAGGTGTGGACCCCAGATAACGTGGCTGAGAAAGGAATATCCAAAGAAAATCACCAGAAACATGATTAGGAAATGATACAAATCCGTCCATGCATGCCCAAAAGTTCGGGTCAGGATGTTCAACCTGTCCTGGAACTCATAAAATCTGAAAGGAGAAAAACATGTCAGAGGAACGGATTCTCAACTATACTCAAACTTACTTGAAAAGTCGGAAGATACATATCAAGATGTTGAACGAATTGATTGATACCTGAGTTCCCTGTAGCTGTGCCGATTCTTCAATTAACAGCTTGTATTCATCAGTAGGAACTTCTAAAGGGTTTGCACTGACGAGAGAGACATACTGAACTCTCCACACAATACCCACCGAGAAGAGGGCGATATTCAAAATGTCCAAGATATTCCAGAAGTCCAAGAAATATTCCAACGGTCTTCCTTTCGCGATACATTCCAAGAGTTCGTTCACCTCTGTCCCAAACTGGAAGCCTACGATGGCGATGAACACCATCTCCAGTGTAAGCCTGAACAAGTCAATAGGACGAGTATAAAGCTCAAGAGGGACTGATTGAATCTTGAGGCTGTGAGGACGTTTGAGGCCACCGCCTTGACCGAAAGTAAACTTCAAGTCCATGTAGGTGAAGAGTTCGAGGTTTCCGTTGTACACCGCGAACTTCACGTGCAGCGCGCGAGTCTGCTTGTCTATCCAGAGGTTTGCCTTGAGATCGTTGACAATGCCCACGTTCACATCCCGACCGTCTGAGAGTTTCAAGAACACTCCATGCCCGCCCCATTGCGACGAATAATTGTACGACGGCAACCCATCAGCACCCAGAGGTCCGAAAGGAGACTTGTCGACAGCCCAGTCGTAGCAGTTTGGGTACAAGATAGAGTAAACGCTCTCCTTGGTGCAGTTGCTGATAACTCCTCGCTGTTGTACCAAGAGGACTCCCCCAACTATCTTGTTGTACTCGAGAACGAACCCAAGCTCGTTAGGATCGTACGCTTGTCCATTATACCAGTTCTCCTCAAACGTCTTGCCCACGAGGCCTGTGTCTGTCACTGGATCTGTCCCAATGATGTAATCCCACAATTGATTTATGGAGCGAATTCCGTCCAACTTATCAGACTGTCCAACCAACACTTCTCTAAGGGAGTAGTCAACCAAGTAAGCTCGTCCTATGTCCATCTGCATCGCTAAGATTCCTACGAAGATGAGAACGAAGCAAATGTACCATGACAGTGACCTGCAGCAAGGTGAGAGGGAGGACAACAACAAGCTTCGCCAACAGGACAAACGGCTTACATGTAACCTCTCTTCACGTCCTTCCATGTCTCGATTTGTCGTATGCTTGCTTTTACGTTGTAGTAGACGGTTTCTGCCTCTTCCTCTAGAGAGTCTTCCAGCCTCGGAGTCCTCCGACCTGTCAGCGCCCCCTCCTGCATGGCAGATCTACTATGAAGTGGCGCCGTCCACACGGCCCTCAAAGTAGCACTCTCTCTCCTCTCTATCTATCAAAGTCTGTGCTGTTTTTTTTTGGTTTTTTTAAGCTGTCAATCAATTTCGGACCGCTTTTAGAGTAACCGTTTAGTAACTTAACGCCTTGCGGCCAGGCGGCCCGGGCCGCGACGTCCGACGGTCAGCCGGGGCGCCGGTACAGTCACGGGCGGTGGCACCGGCGACCCGTGACCCGCCGGCCACGCCCGGCCGGCGACGGTGAGCGCACTGACGCCGGAGTCCCATGGCCCGCGGGGACTCGGACTCGAACTCTGCTCAGTCCGATACGGTACAGTACGACCTGACCGGGGCGGCCCACTGCTGCTGGCTTCGCCACGGTGCCCCTGAGGCGCCGAGTCTGAGTCGGCGGATAACTAAGATGCACAGGCGGGGCCTCAGTAGCCTAGTACTAGTCATTCTGGGGTCAAACCGCGGTAGTCGAACTTAACGCAAAAGAGGAATGCGTATGCTGTTCTCATAGGATACCGGTGGTAGTGTACCCCTTGGTTTTTGAGGGGTGTTGCTCGGTAATATCAGTGGTAGGGGTGCTTCATATTTTGAACTGGCGTGTCCATTTGTTTTAACGACAATGAATTGTTTATTCGAATACATAGTACAAACAGTTGTACTGTGTAACGGTTCATAACTGCTAATTTGTATCATCTAAAACAATTTTGATGACCCACCCTCATCGACAGGGTGGGGAAACGCTCCCCATCATTCCCATCGTCAATCGCACACCGACATGCTGAGCCGCCGGGCGAGCACAGCAGCAAGGTCAACGAGCTGCCGCCATGAGCACAGATGAAGGACCGCCGAGTAAGAAGATGATCGCAAGGTACACTTGGCATCAAGAATCCAGCACAAATTCTTACTTGGTGATCTTGCAGAAGTGGATCAATCAGCATGAGTTCGTCATCCTACATTTCCGACGACTAAGTCAATCGTATCATCAATGTTCTCTTCAAGACTTCTGGGTTCTCAGAGTAATGTACTTTATCTAAAGACTCTCATGAACTGAATGATAATATGTGTAAGATCATGACGAGTCCGCTTAATTAAGGCGCAATCACATCTCACTTGACCCCCTCCTTGGCACGTCTTCTGTACGCTTCGTTACATCGTTGCTTCACATCTTCAGAACTTGAAGTTTGATGATATTTGATTCTTTAAAATATGCCAATTAGTTGACTCTGAGTCACGAAGCTCTTGTTGAAGTATCTTCCCTCCTCTCTCCAAACTCTCCTCACTCAGGTCCTTTGGATGTTTGCACATTTGCTGAAATGCATGAACTTTGCTTTGCTTCCCTAAAGGCGGAGCTTGACGTCCAATTAAGCCTCAGATCATATCAGGGATCAAGTCTTGAGCTTGTAAGCTGGCATGCAAGAATCTATTGTGCGTTGCAACCAGACTGACATGGCCGCGTTGAATGTAGAATCAAGGTTGGAGGTGTTATGTGATTTGACATTTCTTATTCATTAGAAGCATTTATCTCAGCATGTCGAACTACCAGCAAATTGACACGAACTCCCAGTCAATGATAATGACAACCACAATAGCATATGGAATGTCTCCAACTGCGCGCACAACAGAATGGAAGCACATCATGCTGCAGGTGCACTGCCATCCAACACCGTGCCGTTGGATTTGCTGTCTTCAAGAGTTGTCTACATTGTTTGTCACAAAGCGGCAAGGCTTTGAGCATGTGGACATGGATATATACAAGACTATGCATCTTTACAAAGTGTTTTTAAGTCATGCAACAAGAGATGCATCATTCAAAGGCGGAGAAGTTCAAACATGATGTGAAAAAGTCATGTGGCACAGTGAAGCATCTCTCATAAATATGATATTCCATCCAGCACATGAAGATGAAGGTCTTCGTGGAATAAAGGTCTTGGAATCTTGTAATACGTTTCAGCTGCAACCATTCAGAACCTAGTTCTCAACATCGCCAAGCTTTTGCTACCTGTTCACAACGATTAGAAAATGAACAATCCACAGAAGAACTCTCTACCTGTGTGATGGAATGGGTTCATTTTCACCTTCTTCTCTCACAAAATACTTTCGAGTCTCTTCATGCTCGTGTGTGTTCGTGGTATACTCGTCCCCTTCCATAGAAACAGATTGTGGCACTATTAACATTCTCACCAACCGGCACAGAGGTTTTGACGAAGAGAGATGTTGATGAGGCTCACCTGCTGCGAGTGACTGCAACTTGGGCAAACATGCTCGCACAAAACTCAAACACTGAAGACAAGGATCGGCAGAGAAGAGCTTCGCGACATGAGAGAGGTATGGTGAGGGGAGACGCGCTGGGGTAGTGGGTGAAGGCGTGTAGAATTAAAACATTTTAGAAGGTACCAGGAAACGATGAGCTAAACATCCAAAATCAGTTTTAATCACGGTTTTGAACATGGTTTGAATTTCAACAGTACAAAATTTCAACCTGCGCGAATCACACACCGTGTACCCCCATTTTCCCATTCACCACCCCCTTGAGAATATAGGACGAAAACTACCGCGGTTTGAACGGTACTGAGTACCGTTCCTACTTACCGTCGTACTGAGTAGTACCTTTGAGGGCCGGCACGGGGCCGGGAGGGAAGAAAGGCTTTCAGCGGGTGATGGGTGGCATAACTTGCGCGATGATCTGTACTCAGATTCCGGTAGTACGGTCAATATTCGGCCCGGCCGTCCGATCACGGCGGCCGGGCCTGCCGTGGCAGTCACTGAGTGTTGGAGAATTTTACTCATCGAAAGTTATCGGGCTCGCCTCAGACGCCAGTTCTTGGCCCCAAACCCTTGGGCGGGCTCACCTCCAAGTTGCTTTATCCCCCGGCGGCCATGGCGGCCACAGCTCGCGTCTTACTGGCGCTTGCGACAGGCCTGGTGACATGCGCAGGGTTCTCTCCGCAACTCAGCCCCTCATCCCTCAGCTACCTAGCTTCCTCCTCCTCTTCCTCCTCCTCCTCCTCAAGGCTCCATGTGTCCTTCAAGAACGCTCCTTGGGGGTTTGAGTCAAGATTGAGGCCGGGTGGGCGACAGGGCCGAGCAGCTCCGCTGCGGCTGGAGATGCAGCAGAAACTCTCCAGGGAAGAGAGGCTTCAAACTGGCGTGAGCAACGCCCAATACAAGAAGGTTGCTGCTCGCCTTGCTCTTTTGCCCTGCTGACAGCTCCAAAGGTACCGGCCAAAAGAATCCGAAACTTCAGTATCATTGCGCACATCGACCATGGCAAGTCGACTCTTGCTGATCGCCTCCTGGAGGTCTGTCCTGCTGTGTCGTCTCACCCTCTTGTTCCTCCTTTGCTTCTTGACTCGGGCCTGGTCGCTGCAGTTTACAAGGACCGTACCAGACAGAGAGCTGCAACAACAGTTCCTTGACAACATGGACATCGAGGTTGGCCGAATGGCAGGGAGCAGAGGTGAAGGATGACTGACCTGATCGCTAGCGCGAGCGAGGCATCACCATCAAGCTGCAAACAGCGAGAATGAACTACAACTACAATGGTGAGGATTATGTGCTGAACCTCATCGACACGCCAGGTGGGTTTGTGATCTAGCCATGCTCCAGCTCTCTTGCTCATGCTTAGATGCAGGGCATGTCGATTTCTCGTACGAGGTTTCTCGCTCCCTCATTGCGTGTGAAAGTGCGCTGCTGGTCGTTGATGCCTCCCAAGGGATTGAGGCACAGGTTGAGCAGCATCAGGAGGGTTCTGGGTGGGACTGAGAGTTGGCTGGTGCTGTAGACGCTTGCAAACGTGTACCTGGCGCTGGATGCAGACTTGACGATCATTCCTGTGCTAAACAAGATCGATCTTCCCGGAGCTGATCCAGAGAAGGTGAAGCGAGAGATCGAGGAAGTGATAGGTAATGCTCCTGCTCCTGCTCCTGCTCCTGCTCCTGCTCCTGCTCCTGCTCCTGCTCCTGCTCCTGCTCCTGCTCCTGCTCCTGTTCCAGTACCAGCTCCAGCGGAAATGACCCTGCCTTATAGGTTTGGACACGACAGACTCTGTCTTGTGCTCTGCTAAGGCTGGTAAGACGTGCAGGCGGGTGATGGGGATGGGAGTGAATGATCTTGTTCAAGGGATCGGAATTGAAGACATCCTCAAGACTTTGATCGAGAAGACCCCGCCTCCTCTTGCACGCGAGGTTCCCCACCCCCATTGTCTCTTCCTCCCCTTTCGCTTTCGCTCTTCCCTCCCCCTTCTACTGCTCGTTTTCCCTCGCCATCTTCTTCTTCACTTGCTTCTTTTGGGACTCATTATCGTTCAGGAGGAGCCTCTTCGTTGCCTCATCTTCGACTCTTATTACGACCCCTACCGTGGAGTGGTGACGTACTTTAGGATCAAGTCAGGACGGTACGACTTGTTTCCTCCTGCCGTTTCACTCGTCTCCCTCCTCTGCTCTCTCTTCACCTCTGCTGTTTCGCTCCTGCTGGCTTTGTTGGCCATTGGCTCTGCGATGGTTCACTAGCTGACGAGGGAGGTTGGCGAGCAGCATTCAGAAGGGCGACAAAATTCGGTTCATGAACACGGGGAAGAGCTTCCTTGCAGAGGAGATTGGAGTGCTCGCGCCTACCCAACAGCCAACAGACACGTTGGAAGGTGAAACACTGCCTCCTTCCTCTCCATCTCCTTCTCTCATGTGACATCTCCTCCTCCTCCCCCTCCCCCCCCTCTCCTTCTCTCGTCCTTTCCGATCCCCTCCCCACCATCCTCTCCTCTTTGTCCTTGACTCTGATCGGACGACAGCGGGAGAGGTTGGGTACCTCATTGCCGGGATCAAGACGGTAGAAGACGCTCGAGTTGGTGACACGATCACACACGAGGTCGGTGAACTTTGCCAGCACGGCTCCAGCTGATGTGGAGCAGGCAGAGAACAGGAGAGCGCCGGACGCGCTTCCCGGCTACGCCGAAGCCAAGCCCATGGTCAGCCTCCTAGTGTTGTGGAGGTTGGCTGAAGGCGCAAGCAGGTCTGGAGTGGACTTTTCCCTACTGATGCTGCCGACTACGACACGCTGAGAGACGCGCTGTCGAAGCTCAAGCTGAATGATGCAGCTTTACAGGTTGATCAACCTTCACCCTCCTCCTCCTCCTTGTGCATCTCAACCCCCACCACAACCACTAACCTCCTCCGCTCAATTCCTCCTCCTCTATCCCCATCTCTTCCTCCTCCACCACCTCCTCCACCGCCACCACCTCCACGCTCCCTCCTCCTGGATTTCTCTTTTGAGATGACACCTGCCATGCAGTTCGAGCCGGAGAACTCAGCTGCTATGGGCTTCGGCTTCCGCTGCGGCTTCCTCGGCCTTGCTGCACATGGACGTCGTGCAGGTCGAGGACCAAGTCTGTCTGCATGCGTGTGATCTTTGTTTTTCTTTCTCTTCCTCCTCCTCGTCGTCTTCTCTGCTCCTTGCTCCCCCCCCCCTCAGACTCGTCTCGAGCGAGAGTTCGACCTCGATCTCATCTGTACAGCTCCCTCTGTCGTTTACCAGGTACACACTCTCAAGGAGAACCTCTCCTCCTCTTCCTCCTTGTCCTTGTCCTTTGCCTTGTCCTCGTCCTCGTCCTCGCCCTCGTCCCCATCCTTGTCTTTCCCTTGTCCTTGACCATTCCTGCTTCTGCACCTGCTGCTGTTGTTCCGGATTTCTCGACCAACTTTCCACTATTGTTCTCTTCCTTGGTTGATCTCGAGCAGGTGAAGCCCATGAAGGGAGAGGCTTACTTCCTCTCCAACCCCTCAGAGCTCCCTGAGCCGACCAAGAGAGAGGTGCGAGGAGGAGACGGGGGGACGGGAGAATGAGAAAGGGGGAGGAAGGGGTTGGTAGTGGTGATTATGATGATGGAGATGTTGATGGAAATGATGATGGAGATGTTGATGGGGATGCTGATGGGGATGCTGATGGAGATGCTGATGGAGATGCTGATGGAGAAGAAGGAGATGACGGGGATGATGATAATGGAGATGATGATGATGGAGATGTTGATGATGATGGAGATGATGATGATGGAGATGATGATGATGGAGATGATGATGATGGAGATGATGATGATGGAGATGATGATGATGGAGATGATGATGATGATGATGATGATGGAGATAATGATGGAGATGATGATGGAGATGATGATGATGATGATGATGATGGAGATAATGATGGAGATGATGATGGAGATGATGATGATGATGATTCGATGTTTGTCGAGGTGGAGTGGAGAGTTGACTAGTTTTCTCTATTTCAGTGGATCGCAGAGCCATATGCAAGGCTGGAGATGATCACTCCTGACGAGTACGTCGGGCCTTTGATGGAGCTGGCGCAGGTAGAGGGAGGAGGAGACAAGCACGGGGAGATGGGAAGAGAGTTAGAGAACGGCAATTGGGGGTTAATGGAAGAGAAAGAGGAAGGGAGAGGGAAGGGAGACACGCGTTGACGAAGTGGAGGGGAGGAGAGGGGCCAAGGAGGGGAGGAAGGCACATCGAGGATGAGAAGGATCGAATGATGGAGGATGTTGCAGAATCGTCGTGGAGTCTACAAGGACATGAAGTACCTTGTGGAGGGAAGAACAACGATCGTGTACGAGATGCCCTTGGCTGAGATGGTTCGAACCTGCTCCTTCCGCTGCACCTGCACCTGCTCCTGCTCCTGCCTCCCCTGCTGCTGCTGCTGCTGCTGCTGTTTACCTTGTCTCTCGGCTACTGCCGTGCTCGCCTTGCTCTCTGCTTTTCTCTCTTTCTCTCTCTCTCTTTCTGTTCCTCATCAACTCCAATACAGGTCACCGACTTCTTCGATCACCTCAAGTCAAGGTCGATATCCCTCATCGTCCTGCTCCTGCTCCTGCTCCTGCTCCTGCTCCTGCTCCTGCTCCTCATTTCTCGTCCTCGTCCTCGTCCTCGTCCTCGTCCTGTTGTTGCTCATCATCATGATCTGCACTGAGCACTTTGAAACAGATCCAAGGGATATGCTTCTATGGAGTACTCTCTCATCGAGTACCGTCAGGTTTCTCGTCTCGAATTCCCCTTGTCCTCCAGCCTCTAAGCATGAAGGTCAGAATGATCTTGTTCGTCTCGACGTTGCCGTCAACGGAGAGCCCGTGGACGCTCTTTCGTTCATCCTCCACAGGTCAGACTCCTCCCTTCCCCCTCCTCTCTCCTCTCTCCTCTCTCCTCTCTCCTCTCTCCTCCCTCTTTCTTGCTTCGCATTCCCCGCCTCTTCCTCCTCCTCCTCATAATCATCATTATCGTCATCGATGTCCTTCTCCTCCTTTTCCCTCTCGGAAGATTCTTGCTAATCGCGTCATCTTCTTCGTCACTTCCCCTCACAGGGACAACGCGCATGGCATCGGCAAGGAGCTTTGCCTGAAGCTCAAGGAGATCATTCCTCGTCAGATGTTCAAGGTCGGCCTCCCTCCCTCCTAGTCCCTCCTTACACCCTCCCAGCTCCAGCTCCAGCTTCAACATCCCTACCTCCCCTATCCTCCCCTCCCTCCCCTCCCTCCTCACCCTCTCCGCCATCTTCTTGTTCTTTCCCTTCTTTTCCCTCTGTTCCTCCTCTAAGTCTTCCTTTCCACCTGCTTTCCTTCCTCCCCCTGGTCGTCGTCGTCATCCTCCTCCTCCTCCTCCTCCTCCTAAATCGCTCTCCTCTTTCCTCCTCCTCCTCCTCTACTCCTCCTTCTTCT